CATTTGACTCTTTTGAACCCCTCCTAAAAGTGACCTTTTCTCTCTCTTGGTTCACTTTCTCCAGTTTTTTGACCACATGGTTGTGTTGTGCACACATGGGAGGCCACCAATCTGTGGTGGCCGGCCACTAATCATGATTGACCCTTTTGACCCTTGGCCGGCCGGCCATGGGGAAGGCTGGCCAGCCACCTAAACCCTAGAAAAGCAGCCGGCCATGATCCTCTCTCCAGGCACTTTACAGAAGTGTATTCTGTTTCCCTCCAGATTTTGTATCCGGGGGGCTGCACTTTTGGGGGGAAACTTGAATTGTTTTCCCCCCCATTTTCCCCCCTTTTCTCCCCCTCTTTTTCCTATATAATAGCAGCTCCAGCTCCCATCTGAGGGTTACAAAAAAATTGCCCTTAGCCTCCTATATTGTATATCCCTCTCCTTCTTTTCCAAACACCAAAACCTCTCCAAACCCTACACCATTTACCCTACACCCCTTAGCACAAAGCCTCCATCATCCATTCTAGCAGCTTCAAGGCCACTTCCAGAGGTTGAGAGCCATCAAACTTGGTCCAAGAATTGTTGAAGACATAGTCTACAAGGGTGAGTCCCTATTGTCCCTCTTTTGTGCGTTATTTTGCTCAATATATTAGCCATACTTGCTTACATTTTTGGGCTCCGACCCTAACTTAAAATAGCATTTTTTTGAGCTCTTTTTCATGTTTGTTTAAGGGTCTCTCACTGTTTGAGGCTTCCTTTTTGCACTTGCTTCTTTACCTCTCTTGTATGCCTATTTCTAGTGTAGTATTTTTGGCCTACGTGTAAACTGTTTTGAGCTCTGTCATAAAATTTAAAGTTGCTTATTTTGAGCCCTTCTTAAACATTGTTGAAGGGCTCATCACTGTTTGAGGCTTCCATTTGCCACATGCCTTTATATCCCTCTTTTGGCCTTATTTTTGCATGATTTGTTAGCCCCTTGTGCTTATATTTTTGGGCTCTGGTACGAACTGTAAATAGCCTTATTTTAACCCCCTATTCATGTTTGATCAAGGGTATTTGTCTGTTTGGATCCTCCTTTTTGCTCTTTGCGTTTAAACCTCTTTTTAGGCCTTATTTTGCATAGTATTTTAGGCTTGCATGTGCACTGTTTTGGGTTTGGTCACTAACTGTAAAATGCCATGTTTTGGGTCCTTATTCAACATTGTTGAAGGGCCCTCTTTTGTTTGAGGCCAGAAACCATGACTTGCTTCTTTATCTCACATTTAGGGCCATTTTTGCATATTGGTTTAGCCCTATTTGTGTTCACTGTTTGGCCTTGCTTCAAACTGTAAATATGCTTTTTTTGGGACTGCCTTGAATCTGTCTTCATGCTTCATGATCAAATAGTGCATTCTTTATATAGCTATAGGCCATTGCGTGTGCCTAGTTTTGCATTTCGGGTCTCATTTCATGCATCGGGTGCCATATTGCCATGTTTTGGGGCTATTTTGCATCTTGTTTTGCTACTGAAATTTGCATTCTAGTATGCCATATTCCATGCCTTGCCATGTCTTGTTAGAGTGGCATTCGGTGCCTTAGGATCGGTCCTCGGTTTGCGTACATGCGTGCACGCATCTCGAGTGTCTCATTTTCATCTAATGGCCTCCTATGTGAGTGTGGCTGAGGTCCACTCATGTTGGTGTAAGTCCATTATGCATTGCGTATGTCATTTCATTTCATAACATTGCGTATGCTAGGTTGTATGTTAGAGCATCGTGTATGCCATGTTACATCGTGCATTGTGTATGCCATTTCATAGCATTGTGCATGCTAAGTTGTATAGTAGTTGCATTCATGCATGTCATGCATATTGCATTGTGCTTGGGATAGGAATTAGCCCAAGCACGGGAAACGAGGTACGTTTCATACTCCGAGTGACGGAACGTGTCTCAATTCCTAGTCGCCGACACTCCGGATTATCCATGATGGAGTCTGGGCCCTGTTGTGTTTTCATATGCATTCATTCTATATTAAGTTGCACAATTCGACTCCTCGACCATTATGCATCGATATGCGTGATTGGTGGCACGAGGATCGAGACATGCATACATTTGTGAAAATACATTGTCATGCCCTTTTCCTGCTCTCTGTTGCAGCAAATCAAGAATCAGCAGTCTTCCGGGGCTTGGCACGCTTTCCAAGAAATCATTGCAAAACAGAGGCTAATTGGGGCATCGCAGTGGATTTCTGTGCAAAGGCGACCTGGACATGCATCATTCATCATCTGAAGAAGAGTCAAGGCAGTCCCGAGCTGCATGCTAAGTTTATGCTTTCCATAATTAACTTTGTAATTAATTAGGGTCTTTGACATATTCTGGACTTAGATATTCATTCGGGACGCATGTATATATTCATTCGGCACCTCTGCGCCTGAGTGCAATAATTGTTAATAAGTGTGCGTTGTTGTGTGATGCAGTGTCATTCAACCCCACGTCTTTCCTCTCTTATTTTACCAGCTAATGATTTCGTGTTAATATCTAGGCAACGCCTTGTTCAATTAGTATACAGTATGAGAACATGTTTGCATCATCATCCTGTTCCACACACCTGCTACCACTGCGACCGGGGCGCGCTCGACGCAACCCTCATAACTGAACGCCATAAATCGATATTTCAATTTTCGAGTGATATACTTGGTTTAGCTGTAGCATCTCAGTTATGCCATGTTCTAGAATAGCCCGAGCCTATCTTAGTTGCATTTTTGCATGTGTTGCATTAGACATTTTTGTATAATTAGGATCATGCATGGATTTCTAATTAGCTTCTATTTTGGCTTAGAGTACTCGGTAAATTTTTGTGCTTTAGCATCCTTGCATGCGTGTGAGTGACTGCCATGATAGCATGCTTACCATGAGGCTATGTGCTTATGTGATATAACTGCCTGAATGCCTGTGGGTGAAGGTTGGGTTATTTGGATTGGAACAATTCATTCACTGTGAGTTTTAAGCCCACTAGATAGAGGCAAAATCATATTTTCTAAAGCCCACCCGAGGGTGGCAAATCCACGTCTTAGCCTACTTGCGGCTAGCACCATCAAACCATTTTCAAAATAAACAAACATGAAACGTTTTGTTCCAATTCAGGCGATCCAGTCTATACTTGTATGCTGTGCGCATCACATAGTAATCTAGGCTAATAACCGGAATAAGAACACATAATGTTTTCAAAAATAGATATCATGGTTAGTAGAGGCCGATCTTTGATCGGGCGAGCGGGGGTGCTCACGAAGTGACCTTCCCCAATTCGTACCCAAGTTTTCCCGAGCCGAGGCCAACTTTGGTGATGACGGACACGTGCTGGCCCTTAGCAAACGAGTCAGGGTTTCCTAAATTATCCCCAAAATAAAATATTTAGGTGGCGACTCGTATCTAGCAAAGCAGTCCATGTTTGGCACTTTTTTCAAAAATCTGTTTTCTCAAAACGATTTCCCAGATTTGGACTCTTTGGTTCAGACTTAGAACCGTGACAATTTTAGAGTCCTGAACTGTAGTGAACCCAATATCGAACGGAACGGGGGGCTCGTTCCTCCCCGGGGCATTCGGGGATGTTTACAATATGAGAATCAAGTTGCCTGGTCAGCTCGTAGGGATCTACGGGGCAGAGCCCTCTAGTGAGTCCGGGGTAGCATCCAGGCGGGGTTGAGGGGCAATGCCCCCGAAGCCAAAAAGAAAGTCAAAGTAGTTTGACTGCTAGAGTGGTTAAGTGGATCGTACAATATCTCTGCCTACAAATTGAATTTTTGGGAAATATGTTTCACTGCTTGAGCGGTGGATGTTGCGTTTGAGCGATTGGCTTATATGTTTGCATCGTCTTTTACTCACACCGCTCGAGCGGTCTTCGCAGCTCTGATTAGTATAAAGTGCGCTATTTGCTACTTTTAGGGTTTAACCCATCCAAATTCTCAAAAAGAACTACCAAGATTTATTTGTATTGGAGGGTGTTTATATATTGGTTTTCTTGATGATTTAAAGTGATCGATATATTTACGAGTTTCATATTGACATCACCAAGGGGTTTGTTTTTATTATTTTATTCACAAAAAGAGAGGTGTCATTCGATGGATTTTGAAAAACTTGGGTCTGAAGCTTTGGTGGATTTCGGAATGGCTTATCATCGTGGATTCGACATCGGCGTTGTGGATTCAACATTGGACGAAACAACTTCGAAATGAAGATCGTGGTGGAAGAGACACAGTAGGTTTGGTTCAATTCGGGTATAGATTCGTTAGGTAATTGAGGGTACTCATATGTAATTCTTTTTTGTCTTCTTAGTAGATTGTTTTGTAGTTTTGATTCGTTATTTTTTTATCACAATTGAAGGTGCTCCAATTGAAATTTTTTTCACATTAAATTATTGTGCCGATTTGTTGTTGATTGTTTAATTGTGATTGATATTTACTGTTTAAAATTAAAATATAATTATGAATCAATATTTCGAGCGTTTTTAGATTTTTCACACAAATATCTAACAAAATGGAAAATGCACATATCTAACAAAATGGAAAATGCACTAGGAATCCAACTGCTAAAACTTTATTAAACAATTATAGCGTTTTTTTTTTTTTTTTTGGATCATGATAGGATATTAGTATTGGGTCATATGATAAGATATTAGTAGGTTAGTAAATTAGATTATTACAAAAGAGTTGTAGTCACTCCATTAATTTGAATTCCAAATTTCTGACCTTAATAGGTCCTAAAAAACAACTATATGGACTATTTTTTTTTTTTTTTTATTTTTTCTGATTGGAAAAAAACAACTATATAAACTATTGAGTCAGAGTCTGCACTTAGCCTCAATACATTACAATTAACTCCTGCAGAGGTTATAATAAACCATTTAAATCCTATATCCATCTAATAAGAAAAGGGTTATCAATGATATCACAAAATATTAATAATAGTACTTTGTAAAAACTAAATTAACCTTGTATTTTGAAATAAATTTTATTTAAAAATTCCAACAATCCCTTAATTTCATTAAGTTGATGAATTGAGCATCTTCAAGGTCAATTACACTTTCATATCCAAGTGATAAACATGAATAAGAAGACATAATTAGAAGAAAGCAATATCTTTTTACACAGATGAATTTTTGACATTCAATTGATGGAGAGGTTATCCTTCTCTCTCTTTCTCTCTCGTTTTATTTATTTTTATTTATAATAATAATAATAAAAATAAATAAATAAATAGTAAGGAAATAAAAACACTTCTTATTGACACCAAACCAACATCATTAGTAGCTACAGAGATAGAAACACTTTCTTTGAATCAAATGAATCCAACACGACGAGCTCCAAAGCAAACCATGAACATAAAACATATCAGTGCCATAATTGCCACCAAAGATCGATTATTAATGAGGCCAAAACACTTCTTATATAGTATACGACGTCTCCGTTCATCGTACAGTCTTTTAGCAAAACTGCAATGAGTTAGGAAGACTTTGTAAGCTAATGAAAAAATAAACAAATAAAAAATTACAAGTACAAAAATTGGAAAAGTTACTAGGAAAAAGAAGTGTGTGGTGTAAATTTAAATTTAGTACACGTATTTAAGATGAATCTAGTCCACGTACTTTAGTGTTTTTTGGATTATTTTTTGATACTATGTAGCATTGTTAAGACTGACTCTCCTAATATTTTTGTTTAATACAAATCTTTCCTCATATTTGAAAAATTATGGACTTGTTTGATTTGCTTTTGAGAGTAATTTTGGACAAATTTTTTCAAAATTTTGTTTGGTTTAGTAATTTTGGAAATTTTTTTTCAAAATCACTTTCTCTCTCCTACACATCAATTAATCACTTTTTCTCTCTCATCTCTCATTCTCAATCACTTTTTCTTTCACACACATCTATTCAACTCCAACAAAATATCAAATCATTTCAAATTTTGATACAATAAAACTATTTCCAAATTATACAACTAAACAAATGAAAAAAATTTCTAAACTATCTCCCCAAATTTTTTTTTGAAAATTTATCTCTCAAAACCAAACCAAACACAGTGTATATTTCCCTCCCTGAGGTTTGTAATCTCATTATAAATTGCCCTTTGTATTGCTGATGTTATATCTTAAAATTTTCTAAATAACCAATTTATCATTTTTTCTATCATTTCTTTTTCCTATCATTATGACTACATTTTACAACATATTACCATTAAATTCTACCTTAACATATTCTTATTGAGTGATGATATATAAATATAAATTTTATATAGAATTTTCAGATACAATGATATATTTAATGGTGACCTTTCACTTTAAAACAAACACCTATAAACATGATTTATATTTACAACAATATCACTATCACAATATATTTATGATAAATTTTTGTATAAATTTTTGTATATGAATATAATTTTTCATTTTTATTTTCGCCATTATACCTAGATTAGATCAATTTAATCTAGATATATTTAAAAAGTATAAAATTTGTTTTAATCTAGATATATTTAAAAAGTATAAAATTTGTACAAAAAAATTCTAAAAAATCCATTGACTACAACAAAAAATCCATTTAATATTTTAAGAATTTTTTAAAAAAATTATAAAATATTAGGCCTTGTTTGGTTTGTTTTTCAGAAAAATTTTTGGGAAAAATTCTCTACAAACAAATTTTCAAGAATAATCAAACCAAACAAATTTTTTCAAAAAAAATCTCAAAATTTTGTTTGGTTACCTACTTTCCAAAATCACTCACTCTCTCTCTCTCATACACATCAAATCAATCACTTTTTTTAAAACTCTCTCTTCAAAACAATTTTCCAAAATCATTTCTCAAAAAAGGCAAATCAAACAAGTTTTCTTACTTTTTATCTCAAAAACTACTCTACAAACACAAACTATAATTCTTAAGTATATCTAGTTTAGTTGTATCTAAAAAAAAAAATTGCTTAAAATATTAAAAAAATTCTGTAAAAATAAAAAATAAAAAAAAACACAAATTTTTTTTAAAAAAAATACTCAATTTTTTGTGTGAGTTAAACCAAAGAAGATAATTGTTATTTTCTTTGAAATGATATGAGCAAAATATTATCCACCCAAAAAAAAAACATGAGCAAAATATCTACATTGTTCTATTATTTTATATGTATAAAAGTTAATGACAAATATGTCATTTTAACCTGACGCGTGTTGTCCATCTCTGCATGCTCTTGCTTCATTTCGTAATCCTGTTAAGTCCATTTATTTCATAGTTAGTATCTATGCATGCATGAATTAATATTATTGATAATCCAACTATATATATAGGTCTTACCATATATTTCATCTTTATAATTATTTCTGTTTTCTAATTCTGTATTCATAGAGTTTTTCTATGGTTTTTTTTAGCAGAAAGGGTTGGCTCACTCACTGAAAAATGCTAGTGATATAAAATTAAAACATAAAACCAATTTTTCGTTGAGTCCATAAAATCCTGTTAAAACATAAAGCCAATGAAAACATAAAATCCTGTTAAGTCTATTTATTTATTGTCTCATTTTAATCTAATTGATTATAATTGTTAACATTTTTTAAGTAAAAAATACATATATAAGTGGCATATGTCACACTTTTAAGAGAAAAAAATAAACTACTAAACTCAATAAGTTAACCTTAATCAATTTCGTAATTATTTTTCGTAAAAAATCCTAACATTATCAACTGGATCAAATTAATACAAAATTTAAAATTAAAGGTTAAATTTGATCTAATTAAAAGTATAGGAACTAAAATGATATAAAAAACAAAATGAAAAAAATTAATGGTGTAGTTTGCCATATGCCCTATTTTGTATTGACTAATAATATGGCGATTTGACAATGATCCTACAGTGGTCTGGTGGCGTCCGACAATGGTTCCGCAGTCGACTAGCGGCAATAGGGGTGAAATTAAAAAAAAAAAATTCCATCAAAATAATAATTTGTCAAATAATTTCACTAAATATGTACTTATCAATAAAAAAAAATTAATTATTAATATATGCCCATAAGCGTGAACATTTATTTTAGAGTTAATTACTTAAAAGTTCTATTTACAAATGTTATAGTAACTCGGGTCTTATTTAAGATTTTTTGAACCAGTAAGTCCTATTTAGTAAAATTGAGAATATTATTAGTTTTTCCCAATTTTAAAAAAATGAGTTTTTTTAATAAATTTATTTTCTAATAGCTTTATTCCATTCAACCCATATTCTTTTTGACTATTCAATTAGGTCCAATTTGAGATAAGAAGACCAAAATACCATTTTCATCTACTTATGTTCCATTTAGTTCACATTATTTTCTTATGTTTCAATAAGTCCTATGGGTGACATAATTACCAAAATACCCTTAATGTGAATGTTCACACCGTCAATACAAATGTTTATATCGTCAATGTGTAGGGGCCCGGCTCATGTCGATCCTCGTGGGTGCCCGGAAAAATTCAAGTCGGGCCGGGCGGGCCCACAAGCCAAAAAAATAGGCCCGACCCGGTCCGTTGATAATATGAATATTCACATTGACAAATTAATATTCACATTGATAGGAATGTAAAATTGGCCTGCGGCCCGTGGGCGGCCCGAAACCAGCTCGTGAATATTCACATTGACATATTAACATTAATATTAACATTGACAAGAGTGTAAAATTGGCCCATGACCCGTGGGCAGCCCGAAGCCCGGGTCGGGGCGGGCCCGGCCCGGCCCGTTGACAATGTAAATATTCACATTGACATGTTAACATTCACATTGATAAGAGTATAAAATTAGCCCGCGCCCCGTGGCTGCCCGAAACTAGCCCACGGCCCGTGAGCGGCCCGGGGCGGGCCCGACCCGGCCTGTTGACAATGTGAATATTCACATTGACATATTAACATTCACATTGATAAGAGTGTAAAATTGACTCGTGTCTCATGGGCGGCCAGGGGCGAGCCCGATCCGGCCAGTTGACAATGTGAATATTCACATTGACATATTAACATTCACATTGATAGGAGTATAAAATTGGCCCGTGGCCCGTGGGCGGCCTGAAGCCCTCCCGCTGCCCAGGGCGGGCCCAGCCCGGCTCGTTGACAATGTGAATATTCACATTGACATATTTAACATTAACATTGATAAGAGTGCAAAATTAGCCCGTGACCCGTGGGCAGCCCGAAGCCCGGCCCCGGGCCGATGCGGGCCGGGCCCGTTGACAACGTGAATATTTACATTGACATGTTAACATTCACATTGATAGGAGTGTAACATTAGCCCGTGCCCCGTGGCTGCCCGAAACACGCCCACGGCCCGTGGGCGGCCCGAGGCGGGCCCGGCCTGGCCTGTTGACAATGTTAATATTAACATTGACATGTTAACATTCACATTGATAAGAGTGTAAAATTGACTCGCGTCCCATGTGCGGCCCGAAGCCTGTGGGCGGCCCGGGGTGGCCCGGGTTTGGGTCCGGGCGTACCCCGGGCCGTGGGCGAGCTTCGGGCAGCGGACAAGTTTTACACTCCTATCAATGTTAAGGTTAACATGTCACTGTGAATATTCACATTGTCACGGGTCGGGCCAAGCCTGCCTCGGGCTGCGATCGGGCTTCGGGCCGCCCACGAGCTGCGGGCCAATTTTGCACTCCTATTAATGTGAATGTTAACATGTCAATGTGAATATTCACATTGTCAACGGGCCGGGCCCGCCCTGGCCCGAGGTCGAGCTTCGGGCTGCCCACGGGTTACGGGCCAATTGTACACTCTTATCAATGTGAATGTTAATATGTCAATGTGAATATTCATATTGTCAACAGGCCAGGCCGGGCCTGCCCTGGGCCGCCCACGGGCCGTGGACGGGTTTCGGGCAGCCACAGGGCGCGGGCTAATTTTACACTCGTATCAATGTGCATGTTAACATGTCAATGTGAATATTCACATTGTCACGGGTCGGGCCAGCCCTGCCTCGGGTTGCGGTCGGGCTTCGGGGCCGCCCACGGGCTAGGAGCCAATTTTACACTATTATCAATGTGAATGTTAACATGTCAATGTGAATATTCACATTGTCAACGGGCCGGGTCGGGCCCGCCCCGGGCTGCGGGCAGGCTTTTGGCCGTCCATGGGCCGCGGACCAATTTTATACTCTTATTAATGTGAATGTCAATATGTCAATGTGAATATTCACATTGTCAACGGGCCGGACCGGGCCCGCGCCCGGGCCGCCCATGGGCTGCGAGCGGGTTTCGCGCCGCCACGGGACGCGGACCAATTTTACACTCCTATTAATGTGAATGTTAATATGTCAATGTGAATATTCACATTGTCAACGGGTCGGCCCGGGCCCGCCTCGGGCAGCAGGTGGGCTTTTGGCCGTCCATGGGCCGCGGGTAGGTGAGGTGGTAGTGGTGTAGTGGGTTAGGTTTAGTGGAGTAGGTGAGGTGGTAGTGGTGGTTTCGGGCCGCCCACGGGGCAATTTACATTCCTACAAATGTGAATTTTAAAATATGAATGTTCACATCATTAAATTGCTAATCGTTGAAAAAATATTTATAAGGGTATCAAAATTAAATATAAGGGCATAAGTGTCCAAGAAAATAGTGTAAATAAAAAGAATGGACTTTATGGAATAAAACTATACATACATGGGACTAAATGGGTTGAAAAATTCCTTCATGGACTTCTTGGGTTAAAACACTTCTAAATTGGACTTATCAATAAAAATCTCTTTAAAAAACTAATAACATTATCAATTTTGCATAGTAATGTTCAAGATAATCGTTTCACTAATTGAAAAAAAAAAAAAAAAAGAGTATGAGATTAAACTTTTTTGCCATTCTATTTATTGGTATGATTCAACTATTCAACAAAGCCGAGGACACTGGTTTTTCCAGTTTTAAAACTGAGAACATTATCAGTTTTTTCATTTTTAAAGTTTGTTTTTGTTTTTGTTTTTTCTTTTTCCAGTTTACACATCAATGTTCCATCATCATCCTTCTTTATAGGTACAAAATTTTTAGTTTTGCACAAAAAATAATTCTTTTTTTCAATTTTTTTTTTAAAAAAAATACAGTTTTTTTTTTTTTTTTTTTGCACATATATATATATTTAAAATTTTTACCAATTTGAAAGTAGATATTTTAAAGTTTTAAGTTGATCAAAAAAAATATATATTTTGAAGTTTTAAAAATTAAAATAAATGTCAAATCATCATGTTCTATTATATATAATCATAAATGATGAACAATCATTATTTGAACGACAATTCCGACTATTAAAAATTTAATGGGACTTAAAGATCTAAAATTTTTTAGTTAAAACTTAATGGAATAGAAATTCATAAATTAAGACTTGTGTATAAATATTCCTTTATTTTATTTTATTATAAATTATCCCTATTCAATATTGATGAACCTGGAGGGGTCGATCGCCCTCCTCCTACAATTTCAAAAAGCTTTTACGATAGTAGTTTTAGTTAATAATTATCTCCAAATTGTTAAGTGGCCACTCAACTATATTTATGGAACATGAGTTGGTTTTGAACAATTTAACACACCAAAAAAAGCTTCTCATATCCAGTATCATATCTAGTATCAACTATAAGTATTAACTTGCAATAAAAGAAGATGGTGGAGAAAGATTCGACAAGTGACTTGATAAAATTTATTGAGAAACACATAATTTGTGTTTTTAATTCAATTCTATCATAGTTGTCATAAATAACATGAAAGATCGTTGAGCATACTTTACTTTAATAAATAGATTATTTCACAGTTATTATCTTTTATAACTCAATATGAATACAAGAAAACATAGTTATTTATATATATTTTCATGTTATTTTTCACCTTTTATATATGTAAAAATTATTATTTTAGTTCATATTAATTAGTATATATGTTCGTTCCGTCTATGTCAAAAGCCCGAGTCCGTCCTATACGTATTATATAGGATGTTGTAATAGTTGCATTCAATATTTATTGGAGAGAGAGAGAGAGAGAGAAGGAGAGGGGGGTAGGTGTACCTGGATTCGGAGGTAATTGCGACGGAGATTACGTTCGCCAAGGGCGTAAGAAGTCATGATATCTGCAACATCCTCTGAGACTCCAAAAAAGACATCCACTAACGGCGGCGTTTTGATCTTGAGAGCAACAATGGCTTCTAAACCAAAGAGCCAATCAACGATTCCACCAGTTAGAATAGTCCTACCACCTGAAAGCTTTTCTTTTCCAGTTCCAAGTCATAGTATTAGATAATTACTGTAGTCCCTTGTTCCTCCAAACACCTTGCTTGCTTCTCTTATAGCTAACATTGTCTACACCGACCCACATCCACATATAGTGAGCCATTACACCAAAAATTAGATAAAATAATAAAATTAAATACATAAATGGTCTCAAAGTATACTACAAGACAAAATCATTTTTCTCAACGTATAAAATTGTCACCAAGTTAAAATTTTGTTGTTAAATTTTTTTTTGCAATAATCATAAAAATGTCGCCAAGTTGTGGCCAAAGGGTTGTTTTGCAGAAAAATCATTAGATAGTTCTAGAGTAGGACAAGGTGATATTGTTGTGTCTTAAAGGCATAGTAGGTTGCTGTGCCCCTTTTGGGAGTTGATATCGATCGTGGAAGATTTAAATTGTTCATATTGTATAATTCATCAAGTAGATTATTCAAAAAAAAAAAAAAAAACAAATCAATTATATATTTGTAACCATATAATAATATCACATTTGTTTTCAAAAAATAAAAAGTAATAAATTATTTATTTTTAAGGCTATGATCATATGGTTTTGAATGTTTGATTAACTTGATTTTTGCCATGAATGCTCTATTTGATGGATCTTACAATATGACGGTTCGGATCATTAAAATAGACCCTATACCAACTCCCATAGGGGGCATAGCTGCCTGTTGTGCTTTTAAGGACAACAATATCTCCATTACCTCTAGATTATCATGTACCGTTGTCTATGTGATTATTCCCGACCAATGAAAAACTACAACTTACCCTAAGTGATATTCCAACTTCCTAACAAAGGTAAGTCATTATGTCGCACCTTTAAGATTTTTTTACTACGTTATTAGTTTGAACCCCCACTTGAACAATGTCACATGATATGTTTCGGGAGTATCCAATAATTACTCCTCTGAATTATATTTTAGTCTCCAATCATTTAATTGTTCCACTTTTTATTTAACTTCAGTCCATAGCATCAACATTTTTCAAAAATAAGTTTAACTAAGATCGTCGCTAAAAATAATTTTTTGTAGCTACTTTTTGCATATATCGTTAAAAATTGACAATTAGTGACTTTCTTTTGTCACGGTTTATAAATTGTTACTAAAACTTACAATTAGTGATGTGTTTTTCTATGACAAAATTTTCAAATTGTCACTAAAAGTTGAAAATTAGTGGCTTTTTTTTTTTTTTTTTTTTTTGTAATAATTTTTGTAATCTATTGCTAAAACTTATAATTACTAACATTTTTTGTGACAAAATTTTAAAACTGTCATTGAAAATTAACAATTAGTAATATTTTTTAATATTGTTTGATAAAAATGCCATTAATTATTATAGAACCTATTGAATAATAAGTCTACCTATTAGGACTTACACGTAAGTCTCCTAAATTATGTGTGTATTTTGTCAATTTAATTTTGTTTATGCTTCTTATAAAGTTTCAAAAACATTACTCCTCTTATTTATTGATTTTAAACGATGCTTATATTAAGAACTAGGGTAAATTACACACCCTCTGAGATTTTGTTTAATACATATCATTCCACCACGTTTGAAAAATTATACTTATCCCCATGTCAAACTAAAATGACATATTTGTCCCTTAGTATTTATACATATAAAATAATAAAATAATATTGATATTTTGTTCATGTCATTTCAAGAAAAATAATAATCATCTTATTTGGTTTAACTCACATACAAAATTGAATTTTTTAAAAATATTTTTATGTTTTTTATTTTTTTTATTTTTGTAGAATTTTTTTTTTTTATATTTTAAGCAGTTTTTTTAAAATTTTTTAGATACACCTAATCTAGATATACTTAAAAAGTATAATATTTTGTGTGTGTGTGTTTTTTTTTTTTTGTGTGTGTGTTTTTTTTTCTTTTAAATTCACCAAATACAAGAAAACTATAAATATATAAAATTATACAATACTATAATAAATGTGAATGGCAATGTTTGGTAATACTGTAATAAATGTGGGTGGATAGATAAGAAAGAAAAATGATGGTGGAAATAAAAATAAAAAATTCTACTCATGCATAAAAATTTATATAAAAAATATCATAAAAATGTTGTGATAGTGATATTGTAAATATAAATTATGTTTATGTGTGTTTTGTTTTAAAGTAAAAAGGTCATCATTAAACTGCATCATTATGTTTTATATAAAATTTATGTTTGTATATCATCACACAATAATAATATGTTTAGGTAGAATTTAATGATGAAAAAATTTAGAATATAGTCATGATGATAGGAAAAAGGGCAAGATGGTCATTTAGAAAAATTTTAAGGCATGACATCAATAACTAAGAAGTGCCTCTATTTACACACCACATTTCATCTCAAGGCACACCACTACTCCAGACACACATTTAGTAATTTGATAAATAAGAAATTTGCTCAATGCACATCACAATCTTCCATCTTTACCCTTACTTACACACCCCACCCACAATCTTCCACCTTTACTCTTACTCGCTCACACACCCCACCCACAATGTTCTCGGATTGCTTTTTGGGTAAAACCTTACTTTCTAGATTTCTGCTTTTCAGTGCAGGACTTCATCTATAATTTGAGGCAAATTAGAAGTTGCTTGGGTGGGTCTGTGGGTGTTATGTGAATGGTATGTCAGTGTGGGTTTTGGCTCCTGGTTTGTGGATAGGCTGTCTGCCAGTTATGCTTCTGTGATCTTCTGGAATGCATTTAGGTTGAATTGTATGGGAAGGCTGCGTTTATTTATGTGCTGGTCTGTTGTTGTGGTTGGATTGTATGTGAATTTCAGCTGGTTTGGTTATGAATGATGTTCTGTAGGGTGGAAATTCTGAACTAAGGCCAGAGGTGTAGTCTGTGTAATTTCTGGGTTTAGGTGTCCTCACCCAGCTTTGCATCTGTGCAACATTGAAGTTTATATGCCGTGCAGTCTGCTTGTTCTAAAGACTGATCTACAATCTAAAGTATATCTGATTCTCTGCAGATTGGGGAGTTACTTGGCTGTGTTGTAGTTAGTTGGTTGTAGGGGAGGTTGTTGTGCTGCTCCATTACTCTATCTGTTGTAGTACAGGGTTTCATCTATTTCTTTCCTGGCATAGAATCAGCAGTGGTTCAATTTTGGGTGTCCAGATCTTATTTCCTTGCTGTCTAGATTTATCAGTCCAATGGGTTGGTCTCAATCTGTGTGCTGCATTTTGCTCTGAATCTGTGTACTCTAGCTCATATCAGCAAATTGATGGTGGTTCTATTTCTGAACAGGATAGCTTCCCATTTTCTGAATAGGATTGTTTCAAGCCCAGTTGTTGTAGGAGTTTTGCTCAGTTTTGGTGTTTATGTTCAGTGTAATCTAGCTGTTATGTAGTCTGTTTGAGTCTTTTCTGTTCCTTTTTTGTGTTGTTGTTGGGCTCTCTCCATTTTGGAGCTTGGAGCTTCAGTAAGCTCCAAGCTCCTCTTTATTGATGTCCTGTATCCTTCTTGTATACTTTCATCAATAAAGATTTTCTTTGCCGATAAAAAAAAAAAAAAATGATGATAGGAAGAAGAAATGGTAGGAAAAAGAGCAAAATGATTATTTAGAAAATTTTAAGGTATGACATCAGCAATTTAGAAAACAATTTGTAATGAGATTACAAACTTCAGGGAGGGGAATGTAATTTTTCAAACATGAAAGGAGAATCTGTATTAAACAAAAATCTCAGGGGGTGTCAGTGTAATTACCCTAAGAACTAAAGTGTAGCATATTGTAAATTTTAGAGATGAAAATGGAATAATTTTAGAGTTTTGGGAGTAATGTGTAATAAAACCTATACTTTGTCGACCATTAATGAAATTGACCACATAAAAAAAATAGGGTATATTACTCTTTGCCGCCTTTTTGTTTTGGAAATTTTTTCATTAATTGACCCTTAAAATTTAGTTTTTTTAAGTTATTCCAAAAGTTAACTTATATCCAAAATTAGACAAAAAATACCATATTGATAGTCATGTAACATGAAAATATTTTATTATATATAACTCACATTTGACACAAACCGAAATCCTAATTTAAAGTAATATATTTTTATATTATGTGATAGTTAACATTTTATATATAATTTTGAACATAATTTAGTTTTTAAAGTAAATTAGAAAAAACTTTAATATGAAGGGTTAAAGTGAAAAAAAGAAAAAAAAACTATAAAAGGCAAAGTAAAAAAATTACAAAACATAAAAGGGCACACTATAATTAACCAAAAGGAAAAAAAGAAGAAGAGAGAGAGTGAAGGATGTTACAGGATTGTTAGCGAAGAGGCCACCATCAACGAGATTGAGAAACCGATAGTGAAATTAAAATTTTTATTTTGGTAAAATCATTAATAAATCAAAATAAATACTTTATAGAGAGTTTAGATTTGAGAAACCGATAGTGATATTTGTCATTTCTAGTAAGAAACGAAAATAGCCGTTTTTGTGTTGTATTATTATTATTATTATATATTGTAATATGTATAGTAAACATCATCCAAAGGTCCATATTATAATTTGTCATTAAACTCAATTAAAAAAATATATTTTTTGGATATTTTTTGGTATAGCTAAATTGAATATAATGGCTAAAATGTCATGTTTTTGTTAGTTTTACTTAACAAAAATATGTAAATGATTTAACTTAAAAAAGAAATCAAAAGATTAAGCTTAAAACTATCAAAATTAAAAATTTACAAAATCTTTTATTAAAAGACTCAAACTTTGAGAATTTTTTTTTAAAAATTTTATCAACAATTATATGTTGGTAAATAAGTAGAGAGAGCGGAACTTGATTGACTGTTGTGCTTTACGTAGAGAGATAGAGAGACATACTAGTCGGGTAGTGAAGACAACTGGACGAAGTTTATTGACGTCATAAGTTGGGATGACAATATTGGTTGATAGGTCCTTTAACAGAGTATCTTTTCCCAACAGTTCCCCAGCAACCTCATTAAGATGTTCCCCAGTGTAAACTGTGTCAACCACTGCCTTTATTGCAGCTTCTACTTTCTTCTCGGCACTTTCCAAGATGTCGTGGCACTTTTTTTTAATTCGGTCGACGAAATCCAAAGCCGCCTTGTTGGTTTGATTACTTAAAAAAAAAAAATAACACACATTTTTTAGAATGGATTGTCTCCAGTCCATTCTTGTGGATTGGATAAAGTAATTTAAGTTCTTGGATGAATTGGTTTGTTCCTTTTATAGGTCTTGGCGTGTGGATCAGTTATATATATAAAAATTAAATAAAAAAAAAAATTATATTTTGTCTCTAAAGTAATGGACGAATTTTTTTAAAGAAAAATATGATGAAATTAAGTGGTTGAAATTATAAGATCAATATGATTTTTTTAATAAATGATTTAGACTCGAAAACTTTACTTGAATTGTAGAAGTGAAATATGTGATGAACCCACGAACCAAAACTACGCAATTCCATCCACAAAAAATGTGGACTAGAAACTATCCCTCCCAACACTTTGATTTTTACCTGGTTGTTGTGCCGTCGACTTGTTTGGAAGTTTCCTTTTCGAAGATTATAGGGCCTTTGTCACAGAGCAATTCAGTAATTTCTTCTGCAGTGCGAGGTCGTGGTAATTGGCCAACAATTTGTTTTGAAGCATCAATTTCAATTGATTCAGGTAAAGCAAGCAAAGATGTGATAAGTGCCCCTGCACTTGTTCCTGCGATTACATCAAAGTAGTCTGCAAGCCTCACCTTCTTGCTACTTGCCTCCCCCTCTTGTTTTTGTTTATTGCCATTTTCCAGGATCTATGCATGGTTCACATCACAGACATTAGGACTAGCATTTTGAGTTACATGTTCAATTTGGTCTTCAAAATTTACACAAAATAAGGTAGACTAGCTTCTGTGCTTCCTATCATTTAAAACTATTAACTTTATTGATATGATTTAATTATATATTTTTAAGAAGGGAATAACTTCATGCCAATAAAGTGGGGGAATTTTTAACACGATTCAAACCATATACGAAATTAGTGGGTTATGGTTTATCATTTCTTGACACAAACACGTATATGACATGATCTCTTTTGTTTTTTTGTTTTTTATTCGACATATATGACATGATTTAATAATATAAATATTAAATAAGTCGGGTTGATGTTGAATCTGCATAACACAAAGTTAATACGGATAAATCGTATAATGAATAATAATTAGTTATATATTTTGATATTATTTTCACTCAAGGTGCCATGACATTTCTAATTTTTTCTTTTTATTTTAATGTAATTCCATCTAACGTATTAAAAAAAAAATATGTAAAAGAATTTTAAGGCAAATATAAGGTTTGTTTTTGCTTTTAATTGAAGATAATGCATTTTTTCCCCTACTATTTGAGTTAATCTAGTAAGAAAATATTATAACATGATATAGTTTTTGTAAATTAAGAAAATAAAATTGAGTTGAAATCAAATATTTTTTATAAATAATTTATTCAATAGTGATTGGTTGAATTAAATTAGGTTGTAAAGATTGATATTTTTAGCTAATTGTGAAATTTTTTGATATGCCATGTTCACACACACAAATTAGATATAGATCGAAAATGATATGACACGATAATACAAAATAATAAATAGGCTCAAAATGATACAACATGAATATTACCCAATATGACACTACAACCAACCCTATTGCCAGTGCTGGAATGGACTGGAAAGAAAAGTTTGGCCTCTAGATTTTGCCACATCGGCACCTTTTGTAAATAAACGGACAAAATCTAAACTATAAATATAAAAAAAATTAGTGTCAATAAGGCAAAGATCAAGACGCCCAGTTCAGAGTTCAATCCTTTTGAGAAAGTTAGTACTACATCATTTTCATGTAAAATTATGTATAAATTTTCTATTTATGAATTGTTTTTCTTAAATTATGCATTCAACGTACTTGCATGTTGAAATTACACACATAATACTATATTGGATTGGGCTTCTCGAGTAATTGAGCTATCCAATCTGGAAAAAAATCAAATTCTAATAGTATAATATAATACTATACATAATTTCATTTCTTACTTCTCTTTTCACTTTAGATACAAAGCAATGTGACTCACGTCCATAAATATATGTGACTTATTTACTTATGTTTTGGAGTGAGAAAATGAGGTATTATATGTAAATATTTTTCATAAAACAATATATTAGGTGAATTGGATCTAAATGACAAAACGGAATTATAAGCAAGAAAATAAATTTAAGAATATAATTAGCTAACCATACCTCAAGTTCATCTTCGAGGAATTGGAGGACTTTTAGAGGGATGACACCCCTAATACCACCTCCATCAATGCTTAGTATGGTGACTTGCCTCTTGCTAAATAGGTTACCCATTATTTAACTGTTATTGATAAATACTATGCAGTGCAAATAATTGGGGGATGGGCACTTTGTGTTTTGATCGGAGGAACACACCGTACATGGATTATTTATACTGTCGGATTTGCATCAAGTACAACTCAAGCAACGAATTTGGGCTTTTTTCCCAAAAAAGGAAAGCATATAGTTGCAATAACTTTACTTAATAATACTGTTTATTCCAATTCTAGTCTTCCTCATCACATTTACACTATGCGTGGATTATGAGAAAAGAAATGAAATGATTAGAATTTCTCACGTGTGTGAGAAAAGAAAAATATAATTGTGATTTCTCACATTCTTATTTGGATGGACAATGATTAAAAAATGGGCAAGACTTCTCTCCAGTCCAAATCAGACTGAAGGATGTTATTTGGCCTCCGTGGACCCTCCACAGAGTCCGCATCGATAATTTAAACCATTTAATGCAGAGGGCTCATCAAGTACTTCATCCTTGAAAAAATATCACATTAATTAAATATCGATAGCTACTTGATCCAATCACATTTTTTTCAACGGTAAATATGATTTTTAAAATAAATTATTTTTACAATTGCAATCTGCTCAAGTAACTATCAATATCCGATCAACGCAATTTTTTACAGAGACGAGGTACTCAACGAGCTCTATATATTGAACGGTTTGGATCATCAATGTGGATGTTGTGATGGGTCCACGGAGGCCCAACTCCAATTGGGATACCTAACTGGAGAGAAGCCGCTCCCTTAAAAAATATTACATCTGTTTTTTTATTTTTTATTTTTTTATTTGCTGTGTAATTAAAGAGGTAACTTAGGTATTATAAATTTTTTGTAAAGAGTAATTTTGGTTTCTTATCAAACTCATCACTTTTGGTGAGAAACAAAACTTGAGATTGAAGTGATTTCTCTTTTACACCATTACTCACCTCATTAATTATCCAAACAAATGATGAAAAACCTCTTTCTCTTCATTTCTTTACTTTTCCAATCAAACCCCTCCATCCAATCATAGTGTTAAGAAAGGCACCTAACATGATATACACACAAAATAGTACTAAATTATGAATTGGGCCTCCCTAGAAAACACAAATAACCTCATGGGTTCATCAGGTAGTACAGATTAGAGGACAAGATTCAATATTTCAAGTTCGGGTCTTTTAAGGGACTATTAGAGATATTTTAAACTTCTAATTTCAGAGCCTCCAAAAAATAGTTGCTGTCCAGAGACATGGTAACTCTCAGGCCCAATTGGGCTGAATTGGACACAAGGTACCTTGGATTATCCAAAAGAAAAGAGAGAACATAAATTAAACATAAATTGGGACACAACCCATGCATTGTAAGAGTTGTTATTATTTGTTTGGGTAAAAGTCATAAATATTTGTAGTGTGTTATGTCATTTTATGGTAAAAGTTATCAATGGAAAATCTATCATATGTACCCATAAAGCGAAACTTATCAATTATTATAATTATGTTATGAATCTTGTCTCTTAAGAATTAGTTTGATAAAAAATAATGGCTTTATTTGATTTCATTTTTAGAAATTGTTTTCTAATTTAAAAAAAATAGAAAACAGTTCAACAAAAACAAATATTTAAAAGATATTTTTGAATTTAAAAATTATTTCTATCCTCCAAAAAGATAAAAACTATATGAAATGATGAATGTTTTTTAATTTTAATTTTTTCACTAAATTAGTTTTTAGTTTTTTAGGGAAAAAAAAAATTAAAAAACAAATTCTAACAACCAAACCAAATAAAGTGATTATAATTTGTTGGGGTGTTTGTTATAAAATATTATGATTATGTTGCATCTGTTGTGGTAGGGTGTATAATGTATGCCCTTTTTAATAGTACACACGGTAACAATTCTCCAAATTTTATGATTTATTTATGTGTTTCTTAGTAACTTTGAAAACATTAATCTCACAAGAAAAAGAAATTTCTCTATGCTTGCAATTATCCAGAAAAGATGGCCAAGACAACTGGTGCTTTAATTTCAGAAGATCCCTTTATGCTTGGGAAGAAGAAGATGTGGCAAGGCTCCAAAGCATGTTGGGTGCAGGGCCAAGCTTAATCATGGATTCTATGGATTCTTTTAGATGGATAGCAGATCCATCAGGGGTATTTAAGGTCAGTAATGCTTACAACTGGTGTGAACTTGTCAATGGCCCTGCCTTGCGCACTCCTGGCTTGATTTGGATCACCTCCTCTCCTCCTAAGGCTAAATTCATCACTTAGCTTGGAAAGGTAGGCTAAAAACAACTAATTTATTTTTTATTTTTTATTTTTTTTTGTGTGCGCGCGCGCGCGCATAGAATTGGAGTTCTGAGGGATTTTGGCATTGTTTGGTGAAATTGTGGAAAAGTGATTATAGATTATGACTTAATAAATTATAGATTATAATTTTAAATATAAGCTGTTAACATGTTTGATGCAGTTGTGGGATTATTGATTTAATCAACAGAATAGTGTTTGGTTGAATAAGCTGTAAAATAACTTTTTGCTGTGCAATGTCTTTTTTGCCCTTATAAGATATGAAAATTATTATTTTTTCATTTTCTTCAGTTTTAATTTAAAAAAAAAAATTGTTTCATTAATGAAAGTTAATATAATTAGTATCAATTAATATAAAAATTGATACATTTCATTACAATAATTGTTATTTCATTTTTTTTTTAAATTTCATTTAATAAAAGTTATTTCATTTTTTTTCATTAATCTCAATTAGAAAAAAATTGTTATTTATTTTTTTATTACAATACCAAAGAGTTTTATATCAATTCATAATTCTTTTAATAGAAGTTATTTAATTGAAATAAATTTATATCAATATTAATTGAAATAAATTGTGCAATTTATTTCTTTATTTAAATTGTGCAATTGTGCAATTTATATCAATATTAATTGTGAAATAAATTGTGCAACTTATTTAATGGACATAAATTGCAAAACCGTAGCCACCGCCGGTGTTCTGCAAGATCGTCACACTGTCGATCGTCACGCCGTCGATTGTCATCATCATCACCGTTTTAGATCGTGACGTGGTTTCAGATCATGAGAGAGAGAGAGAGAGAGAGAAGCTTAGCGATGGCGACAAAGCAACAATGGGTTGCTACGACGCGGCGGGCGATGGTTTGCAATAGTGGGGTGGTCTCTTGAGACGCAACCGGAAACAACAGTCGGTGAGAGCAACGGGAAGGGGAGATCTAGGTCTGTGTTGCATTCTCGCCTGGTGGAGAATGTGGGAAAGAGGCGACAGAGGTGTGGTGGTGACAGAGGCGACAATCGCAGTGCAGGCGAGGTAGAGGAATGGGTTGCGGTTCAAATTGTGAACAGAGAGAGAGAGAGAGAGAGAGAGAAAGAGAGTGAGAGAGAGGGTTAGGGTTTGGTTCTAGAATGAGGCATATATATATATATATATATGAGGGGCAGTTTGAGAGAGAGAGAGAGAGAGAGAGAGAAAGAGAGTGAGAGAGAGGGTTAGGGTTTGGTTCTAGAATGAGGCATATATATATATATATATATGAGGGGCAGTTTGAGAGAGAGAGAGAGAGAGAGAGAGAGATCGTGATGTGGTCTCATGCCACCAGAAATCGCCTCTCACTCTATCTTTCCCTGAGGAAGTGAACAGTGTATGGTTGTGGATTTATATATTAGTTTTTTGGTAATATTTGAAGTATATAAGGGGCATTTAAGTCATTATGCCCCTCAAAACTTAGCTGTCCGCTTAAGCTGTTTCTGTAAGCACCTCTTAGCCAGCCTAGAGATTTAAGTTGAAAATCACTTAAAATAAGCTATAATCCATCTCTTAAAAGTTATATCAAACACCCCAAAATCACTTATTTTAAGCTATAAGTGGATTTAAGATGAAAATAAGCTCTACTAAACAGGCAATATATGGGCTTATCTTGTGTGCTTTGCAAATTTGTGGAGGAAACTCCAAATCATGTCCTACTTGTTTGCTCTTTCGTGTGGAAAGTTTGATCCATGATAATTATACGAGCACGAAATAATTGTTCTCGTATAATCCTATTGATCAAGTTTGCACTCCCCCAAACATCATCGTTTTATCACATGAAAACACAAATGTGAGCTAGCCGGCGGGTGTGTGTCGGAAACTTCTCCGATGCCTAAGTCAGCAAATAGACTAAAGAGGAAAAAGCTTTGTGAATTCAGGAGTATGAATTGCAATACTTGGAAATAACTTATGTCATGAGCTTTTATAGATTTCGCATGGCACCATCCTAGTAGGACTCTACTTCTCTTAACAGAGTCCTCCTAGGAATCACATTCTTAAAGGATAATGCTTATCCTTAAAACACTTTTCTCACTGCAAGCCAAGTGAGATGGCAACAACACTATGTTCGGCTGTAAATATCCGACCAAACTACATTACACCGGTCTATCATTGACCAAACCGTGCAGTCCTTGACCATCAGATGGGTTGAGCTGAGCTAAAGTTAGCTCGACCTTTTTCATACGACCATCTTCTATCAGCTAGTCCTAAACTCACTGACCAGCCTATCATCTAATCTACCCAGGACCGAGCTACCTGAGCTCTTTTCTCAACCCACTATGCGGCCTAACTTCTACAAGCACTGCTACCTAGTTCAGCCCAATTTCTTAACAGACATTACCCTCGCAATTGCTCTTTAATTCCATCTGTAGAGCATGATTGTGATTATATTCCTCCAACTGAGCTAGAAATACTTAAGTCAACGGAACCAATAACGTTGCTCGGTCCCTTCGATTTGCTTGGTGCCCAGGAGTCTTCTTAGTTGCCCAGCACATTCGCTTGTCACTTTGGCACCATTTCAATCATGGGATATGTGGCATGACTCTAGTGGCCCCGTACCTCTGTTAAAGCCGTCATACACCATCAAAAATTTGAAAAGACCGCACCCTTTCACTTTTCATACACATATATATATATATATTCATATACTTGCCGATACATATTCACTGTTCATCTTCTTCCATTGCAAGCCTTAGCTCTAGAACCCCCAAACTTTTCAACTCGTTTATTGCTGCCTTATATCAAAGAAAATCT